GGTGCCCAACGGCCGCTATCTCATTGAGGTATCATTTAAATGAAAAACAGTCTCCCACCCTGTGTCCCACATCATTATGGTAAGCGCATTTTGCCCTTTGGTTTTGCATCTTCGGATCTCCCTTTATTTTGGTTGGCCATTTGACTAGAGTTTATTCTTGATTTCTGGAAGTATCTGCCAAATCGGAAGTTTGAACACAGTTTGAATAACATAATTCGTGTCTTCCTTTTTGGCTGACTGGCCCTTAACCTCTTTTGCCTCATTGCGCGGGTATTGGTCTTCTGTGCGCTGGACTACGTGCTACCCTATCCTGCAGACTTCGCATCTTCCTCAAGCTTGCTATATCGGTCGGTCCTGAACTACAGATCCGCAACTATCATGGGCGGGGTTTTAGTTAACAACTGCCACGGCTTGTCCTCTGGTTGAAGCCCTTGCCTGAAAGTTGAAATTGCTACTTTATCCGAAAAATCCTCCTCTATCTCGTGGAAGGTTTCCCAATAGAGCTGAGCATATTGCTTAACAGTCTGGTTCTTTGTCTTCTTTAACACAGTGAGGGTATCCAGCCCCTTCGCTCTTTTGCTATTTGCTATAAACAACTCAATGAACTTATTTGCCAGCTGCTTCCAGCTGTCGATTGATCCCACATGGAGCTTGTCATACCAAGCACAAGCTGTTCTTCCCAGACTTGGAAGCAAAGATTCTGCACATGAGTGCCTAGTTTTCGTTCCAGAGGGCCATGGCATCGCAATAATGGCGCAAATGGTCCAAGGGATCTGATCTTCTGTTGTAAAGCTCAAACTTTGGGATACTGAACTTTTTCAATGGTTCTGCCACGGAAATTTATTTCACGAATGGTGATACTGACAGGACTGGCCTCCTATCGGTTATTCTAAAAGCAATCCCCTCTGTCTGCTTCTGAACAGGGTTTCGAACTTTTGGATCTGGTTGGGTGACTTCTTCAGTTTGTCGTGTAGTTGTCTTCCGCGGAGCCCTGCGGCTAGTGGTCTTACAGCTTGCAGCCCCGTGGCCTAGCCTGCTACATGGGTTAGTCTGTCCTAAAATTCCTACAACTAATCTAAAGTGTAGCCTGGTTTGGTCTTGGGCTCCTACCTCCGGGTGTTAATAAATGCCCTCATGTCCTCTATGGGGAAGTCGGAGCTCTAGGCTGGATCCGATCTCATTGATCACTTTCCTCGTGCAACTTCCCTTCTGCATAAGAAAGACCTTACATCGTCTGAACAGGCGTAATCCTCTGTTTGTTGCTCTTTTTGTTTGGAAGAGGACTGGCAGTGCCCTTCAGAGCCAGGAAGACTACTTGCCAGGTGGCTGGTTTCGCCTGCTCTATGAGTTGATATAGGCCTTGGATTTGCCTTAGTACGTGTCCTCCCCTTCGACCGTTCTATGTAGCGCTTTCATTCAGTCCTTGGGGCTCCAGCAGTTGGTTATGGACCTGCATCAAGGTTTTGACTTAGTCAATGAGTTCCTTGAGCTGTTGGTTCATAACGTATATGGTTTAGTCGCAACTGGCCGACTCTTGCACCCAGTTGTTGTTTCCGAAATTTTTGATGGCAAGTAAGCTCTTCTCTTCTTGCTCACGTCGTTCCTGCGACGTTCCGGCATTCAAAGGACACCTCCGTTGGCTTGGGGAGAGGTTTCCATCGTGTTCGTCTTCGGTGAATTGGTTGGTGTCTTCCGCCACCATAGATAGACTAGAATCCTAGCAAATGGAGCAGGGCTTTTAGCTGCAGGATTCCCACAAATGGCGCCAAATTGTAATGGGTAAAAATCGAACCACTTAGGCTGCAGTAGCGACGGCGACAGCGACGCGGCAGATATAGCTTGATTCCTGACCTGAAAAACACTTAGATAAAGGTAAAAAGAGGTAGCTGGAGCAGGCTAGGGACCCTCCGATGCTTAAGTCAATGACAATGTAAACAAAGGTCCAAGATTCTAATAATAGGGTTCAAGTTGTAGTCCCTGTGTACCTTAATGGTGCTGATTGCTTCCTTTTTATAGTTGGCTCCTACTAACCGTTGTCGGCTGTTAGGCCTCTCCCCACTCCTCACATCAACCCCATTTCTTTAGGGATTATGTTCTACCAATTGCGGATTTCTAAGAGTTGGTTTGAGCCTAAGATGGAGGGACGTGGGTGGACTAGGTTTGCGCCCTTCCTGGGCGTGCTTTCTACTGCCTTTCGTCCTAAAACTCCCCTAACCTAATCTAGACCTGGGCCTTAATTATCTTGGGCTGACCTTCCATTTTGCTAGTGTTGTGACCTTCCTGTCACTAGTCCAAGACTTTCAATCCTGCCTCAACCTGATTTGTTTTAGCCTCCCACAGTTAGTAAACTTGAAAGCTACGGAGCAAGAAAATATAAGAATAGGAGCAGCCCTAAGTGGTGTTAATTAATTGTCTATCTTTTTCCTCACTTGGTGTGGCTTTATATAACCTTTAAAGTGACTGTCAGAGTTCGTTCCACTTCCCCTACCATTCTTTACGTGCAGCCCACTTTTTGTGCGATCATGTTCCACTATCACAGATTTCTAGGAGTGGTTGGCCCTTAAAGTAAGTACCAAGCTTTGACCAAGTCTGCTTCCAAAGGCCATCCCTTCTAGACTTGGCCTTCTGGCCTGGACCCTTGGACCTGGACCCGCACCTCAGGTTCTGGACCTGCATGTGTAAACCTGGACCTCTGGCCCTAGTCCCCTAGTCTCCTCTGGTCCTCTGATCCTGGACCTTCATGTCTAGACTTGGACCTCTGGTCCTGATCCCTTAGACTCTTCTAGTCCTGGTCCTCTAGTCCTATACCTCTAGTTCTGGACCCACACGTCTGGATTTGGTCCCCTGGTCCTAGTCCCCTGGTCTCCTCTAGTCCTCTGATCCTGGACCTGCATGTCTAAACTTGGACCTCTGGTCCTGGTACCTTGGACTCTTCTAGTCCTCTGATTTTGTACCTGCATGTCTAGACCTCGACCTCGACCTCTAGTCCTGGTCCCTTGGACTCTTCTAGTCCTAGACCTTTGGTCCTCCACGTCTGGACCTAGACCTCTAGTCCTAGTCCCCTGGTCCTATAGACCTACCATTCTGCTCGTCAGAGTGTATCTTGCTCGGATTCTGCACATTTTTTGCTCAGAATGAAACTCTTTATTTTTGCCTCCCACACAAAAGTATTTACATAAAAATTTACAAGGCAAAAGGACTTCATTTGGACCCTCAAACGTTGGCCTAAAACTGTTGTTGCATAGGCAAGGTTGCGGCCTACTGCAGCTGGGACCATAGCCTGGGACTCAACCTATGCGGCCTGGGTTGAGGCTAGGGCTGCGGCCTGGATTGCGGCTGTCTCATGCTATGAAGCATGGACACGCCAAAATGGAAGCCATGGGGGTGTCGGACACGAGGACACGCCGGAGACACGTACGGGACACGACATCTAGCGTGTCCCCTTAATTTAATTTATTTTTTTGTAGGGGATACGGCAGAGACACAGGGGGGACACGCGTGTCCAAATCTGGACACGCCATGGACACAGCGAGAAGAGTAAATGAAAGGGAAAACAAGTACAGACCTGGTCAGAGACGATCTAGAGCCCTTCAACTTCGACGATCCAGAGCCCCATTCGACTTCGACGAGCTCTCTCTCTCTCGCCTTTGCCTTCTCAGAGCTCTCTCTCTCTCTCTCTCCTTTGCCTTCTCAGAGCTCTCTCTCTCTCTCACGATCCTCTCTCTCCCTCGCAATCTCGATCGTCTCCTTCTGTCTTGCTTCTGTCTCCCTCTCTCTCGGTTCTCTCCCATCTTTATCTTCTTGTCTTGATTCATCATATATGATATATATAACTATTATTATTATATATTCATATATATATATATATACATATATATATATATTATTATATATTCATATATAATATATATAACTATTATATAATAAAACTATTATATAATAACTATTATTATTATATATTATATAATAGTTATTATATAACATAAATATACTTATAAGATAATGTATAATACATATTATAAGATAATATATACTTATACATATTAATAAATAAATAAAAAATAAACACATGTATGTAAAATAAAATAAAAAAATTAATTGGAACACATTATTTAAAAAATATAATAAATAAATAAAATAATTAATATGGATTAAAATAAAAATATTTATAAAAAAATTAAAAAATTTGCCTTGTCCCCTGCCGTGTCCGTGTCCGTGTCCCCATTTTTTAGAAATTACCGTGTCCTGTGTCCGTGTCTGTGTCCGTGTCCATGTCTGTATGCATGACCATGTTCGTGTCTGTGCTTCATAGGTCTCATGGCATGCCTTGGGCTGTCTTGGACCATACCTTGGGCCATTGCTTGCACTTGCCCAAACAACTTATTAGGCATATCTTGGGCCCTCCAGAGGGCACAAATGCGAGTAGCATCAAGGTGTTGACCCTTGGACGAGCACACCTTGACACTAGGCCAGGCCAATATACATTCAAAAAAAATTTTTGCTTTTTTATAATTTAATATTGCATTATATATAAGCTCAAAGAATTGTGAGAAATCATTTTTTTAGGAATTATGTATTAATTTAAGAGCTAATGGCCAACCACTTTACTTTTTGTTATTTCATTTCAATATCAAGTGCAGATTGTGTTATTGCCCTTGTACTTTTCTCTTTCATACATAAATGTGTTATATGCAGAAGTGTTAGACACAAGTTTACTTATTTAACTATTGAAATCCAATTTTAGTATCATCATATTTTCTTATTTATCGTTACTACCTAAAACATATGGATATAGGAAACATATATGACACTTATATAAAAATACATTAATTTGATAAATTCTGAAAAAGGATACTACTTCAATATCACTATTTTTTCTTCTCTAAGAAGTAAGCAAAGTATTGAAAAGCTATTATTGTATCACAGGTGACTTGAACACAAGACAATGCAAGTTAAATACAATTAGATAAATTTTGCAACATGAGTTATTAGTATGAAACCTTAGCAGAAGGTGGTAATCTGGCTTCAGCAGCTCGAGCATGGTAGACAAAACACTCAGTTGGTGGACCTCTGCATTGTGAAGGAAAATGCAATTAGAAAATACTTCGTTTCCACCAGAAAAATCAAATTTACGTAAAGACAAATTTCATTCAATTGATTGTTAACTTCTCCCTTGGATAGCTACCAGATCCAGACAAAATTATATCCAGAGGGACAATCTTAAATCAGCACATTCTGGTCATTCCCAACTGTTGTCCAACACAAACCCCGGGTTCAAAAAAAATGGATAAGGCTAGGCTTAAGACATTGTCCAATATTTCAGTGGATTAAACGAATTAAGTAAATATGAAGACAACTATTGAGAACCCAATGTTAGTTTTTAAGAAGCCATAACAGAGCACCAAAAGATTTAGGGAACATCCATTTATGGGCCTATGCACATGGCTCAGGCTTAGCTAGCTACATATACAAGGATAGGGTTAAATTCTTACATGTTTCTTGAAGCTTTAGTATCTCGCGCAAACATTTTGTATGATAACAATTTTCCTTCCAGTTGATACAAAAGTTGGTTAACCTTGCTTATTTTAAACCTCATTGGTTTCGTCGGGCTTTCAAGCCTAACCTCGTCATTGTCAAGAAGGTCGTCAATGGTTTCTTCACCAATGTGTTCAGCAAATTTATATCTTTGACTGCCATAATTTTCTATAGAATTTATATTCTCAACATCCCCCTCCTCTCCATCATTTAAAGGGAAAATATACAAATACCGCCTCCATTTGGCACAGAAATTAGGATGAAATACCCGTGACACCTACAATAATTTAGACCCTCAATCAGAATAATTTGAAAAAGGTTGTGTTTGAGCAAAGCATGGCAACAGGTAAATGTTTCCACCAACTAATACGAACACAGCAGAAGTCATGTGTTCAGAAATTTGGAGTAACCAACAAATGCAATGTGCACAAAGATTGAGTTGTATGCATGTCTTAGAGGGATGAAAGATAACATTACCTCAGTAACAGATATGACCCTGAACTTTACTGATGCTGCTTCATTGATGGCATCCATGATATCTTCAGGTTTAACATCCTTTCTCCAAGTATCTAGAGATATAAACAGTTGAAGGCCCATATGAATGATATTCAAACCCGTAAAAGTAATTTTAGAAGGCTACATAATTTTAAGAAATGATGAAAGTGACAAATCAGTATGAACTGTTTCTTCAAGCTTGCAATAAAAAGATTTTACGTAGTGACTGGCATGATTGACCCAAAAAAAAAGATACTGCTCTATTGTAAAATGAAAGACCATTCATTTGTTCCAACGCACAGACAAAATCCAATATCCGAAAACAAGAGAGGAAAAATAACCCTTGATACACTGATGGGGAGAAGGGAAACATTAAAACATGAGATGAGACAACATAGAAATGCAGAAACAAGCCCTTATTCTGTTAGCATGCACATAATTTAAACTGATGAAAAAAAAAATAGACCATTTTAATGACACAAACTTTTCCATGAGCTCTTTAAGGACAAAGAATCAATAAAATAACATGACTATAGCTGGGAATGATTTTGCAAATTGATATTGACTTGAAGTTCGCAGGCTGTACAGCTGTGTTCTATGGAGTTGGCAGCTGGTATTTAATATGATACAAACAATCACATGGCAAATGCTTCAAAAGGAAAAGTCATACATACACTGAGGAGTGAGGACTAATTACATGAAACTAGTTGCGTAGATAAATGATCTGTACAAATGGAGTATTAGGAGGATAGAATCAAACAAAATTGGACTACAAACTGAACCACACCAAACTAAGCTAAGAACCAATCTGGTGAGATCGGCAACATGATATTTTTCACCATATTGTATCAAATGCTATATGCTCAGTTAAATTAAATAAATTATCTTTTTCTTTTACTACCACATCCCATGTCAGTTTAGATCCTTCCTAACATTTTTGTTTATGGTAAGTATATCACTCTTCCTTACCATTGTATGTACATGTTTTTGGTATAAATGACACAAAATTGGACTATTACATAATTACATTACTACATACAGAAAGAACAAACTTGTTGAAGAGCTGTCACTCCTTTGTCAGTGCGCCCAGCAACAACAACAGCGCCTTCTATAGGTGAACCCTTGTCTTTCAACTGGTTAGCTTTCTTTTCATCAACAAATCTTCCAAGAGATCCTTCAACTAAACTGCAAATAGTAATATTTAGATACAGGAGGATCAAGAATGGAAGAGAAACTTATATTGGAACTTTAAAAAAAAAAAAAAAAAAAATGGCAAAGACAGAAAAAAGGAAATGAAAAAAAAAAAAAACTGGCAAAGACAGAAAAAAGGAAATGCAAGGGAGATAGAGAAATAGATAGATAGATAGACAGAGAGAGAAAGAAAGAGAAGCAAGTTTTTAGAGAGAGAAAAAGTTATGGCAATACTCATTGGCAATGGCAATGAGCATCTCCCACCCTAGTGTTACTGGAAAACGCTAATACCTAACCATTTACGGGTTTTTTTTTTTTTTTTTTTTGATCGGCAACAAAAGGAATTTTGTAAAATAAAAGACAAATAAAACAAGAGAGGACAAGGAGTCCTCTTGAGGTAGCATATGAAAATACAAATCATGAACATCTCAAAAACACAACTAAAACAAAGATCTATGATTCGCAAACAGCCTTCCAGTCAAGAGATCAAGGAAAGCAGGACCCCTTTAAATGGAGGGCAAACTGACGCCCAGAAAGATGCCAAACTACGAATTCTATCCCACATAGATATAATCCATGTTCCCCACCTTATCGTGAAAAATCCTTGCATTCCTTTCCATCCAAATAACCAAAAAAATTGCCCCTGCACAAAGCCACAAAGTTTTGCCTCTTTTTCTAGCATCACAACCCCAAAAATTGATTAAAGCATATGACTACATGATCTTGGAGCCACCCACATAAGATCTCCGAACCGAAAGAGGCAGCGCCATAAGCCCAACACCACAGGACAATGTAAGAATAAATGTGATGTAGGACAACTGGCTGGATTTTCAAAACAGTGGGTATTTAACAACCTAAGTAGTGAGTAATTTAGGGATTAAACGGTTAAATTGAAAGCTAATAGGTAGGGGAAGGGATTAGGGTTGATTTGGGGGTAAGAGGATAAGGTCTTGGGGCTGAAAAATGCACTTTTAGTGGGCTGTGAATAGTAACCAGCGAATAATAACTTGGGTATGTGCGCAAAGAATAAGAAAGAGAAGTAGAAGAAGATAGAGAAGAGGTGCCTCACCCTCACAAGGGTTAGGCCAACCACACAAACACAATATCAAATTCTCATAAAATAAACTATTCTATCCAATTATTGAGATTACACATTAATAGGCAAAAACTTTCCTATTTCTATAAAGACTATTCTAGACCAACTGTGACTTCCAATCCTACTTCAATCATAATAAGAAACTTTGATGACTTATAATCTAAGTACGGGCACGGACACATGACACGACACGACACAAACACACGGACATGCAAATTTTCAAAAAATAAGAGACACAACAAGCGAGGGAAAAGTTTAAAATATATAATTTTATTTATTTATTATGTCATAAAAAAATTTATAAAAAAAAACATTGAAAGGTATTAAAAAATGCAAAATAACATTAACAAATATTTAAATATATATATATACTAATCAACCATCATCTATTCATCAATTTTATCACTTCACCCAATAAAATAAATTCAACAATTTCAACAAATTTATTTTTTCTTCAAATAAAATTAATTTGTTCTATGCATGTTCAGGAAAAGAGGGCCAAAAATGAATATTGAAAAATAGAGAGGTATCAAATTTTCGTTCACTTCTCCAAAAAAAACAAAAAAACAAAAAAAAAAACTAAATTAAATTAAATTAAATTCAGCAAATATATAATTAAACAAAAATGAGAGAAAAAACAAAGAAACGGAGGGGAGAGAGAGAGAGAGAGAGAGAAGGGAAAAAAAAGAAAAGAGAAATCAAGAAAAGAAGAAGAAAGCAAAGCAGAGAAGAACGAGAAAGCAACTAAGAGGATGAGAACAAGAGAAATAGAACTTCAATAGGGGCCTTAGATAGAGTGTCTGACACATGTCCAACACGTGTCGGACAACCATATACTACCTCCAGAGAGGTGTCCGTATTCATTGCTTCTAATTATACTCCAACATCAAAATAAGAAACTTATCTTTTTTTACCACTAAGAACGGCCCATTTAATAACTTGACTCAAAATAAAACCCATGGGCGACTCTACAACCCATGTCCAACAACTATTGAAATTACCATAATACCTTTAACTACTAAAACCTACCAACCTTACACGGACGCTTTGGATTTTCGGAGGTACCTATGTCGACATGACGCGACACAGGTGCGGGATACGGCCGAGATACGGCTCTTCACAAACGGATAAGGCAAAAGAAACGAAAGGGGAGAGAGCAAGAGAGAACCTAGTTGTCATTCGCTGTTCGATCTGGTCGCCGACTTTGACTCCTCTGGTCGTTGGCTTCGATGGCTTCAACTTCGACATCAATCTTCTTCGCTCGATGCTCGATCTCCTTCTCTATCTTCTCTCTCTCGATTTGTCTTCTCTCTCGTCTCTCGATCTCCCTCTTCACTCCTTTCCTCTCAATCTCCCTCTCCTTCTACTCACTCTCTCTCTCTCTCTCCCTTCCTCCTTCTATCGACTGTCTTCTTTTCTCTTTGTTCTCTTTCTCTTCTCTGTTCTCTTTTTGTTCTCTGTCCTCTTTCTCTTCTTATATATTATAAAATATAAATTACATTAATATAATATTATAAAATATTATTGTATAATATTATTCATATTATATAATATTATTGTATAATATAATATATCATAAATAATATAATTTTTATGCTTAAAATATTTTTTATATAAATTTTATTTGTTATTTATATTTTATTTGTTTTTTTTTTATAACAAAATCTATTATTCCTTAACTTTTTTTAACTCATCTTCATATAATAAATATATTTAAAAATAATTATTTAACGTATCCCCGTACCCGTATCCAAATTTGGATCCATATCCATGTATCCTCAATTTTTAATCTTGAAGTGTCCAACCCTTAGATACGCACCCGCGCTCGAGTCCGTGTTACATAGAAACGTACTATAATGACATAAAGGCCTCGTTTGGGAAGTTGGCTATTTTAGTTTTTTGCTATTTTAGTATGCTAAAATATTTGTGCTTGGGAAGAAGGTTGGAATTTTTTGTAATTAGATGTGATATTTGTGAGAGAAAAAATATAATGAATATGGGCTTAATGTGACATTGTTTTATTGGCTATTTTAGCCTATTTTGTCTTTTTGTGAATTTTAGCCTCAAAAAAGCCAATTTTTGGCTTCCCAAACACCCCCAAAGACTCAAAATTAAAACAAATACAAATAAAAACTCAAAAAGTATTCAAAAATTTCAATTATTGATGCCCTAAACATGCTTCATATGAATTCCAAATTTGCCCTTTTTCTTCTTTACATGATCTTCATCAAAATGATTCAAAGTAGGGTTGTGCACGAGACCCACTGGCCCAATTAAACCGTCCAACCCGGACCGACCCAAAAGGAAATGGGTGATTTCGAAAGAAAAAATGGTCGGTTGCCCTTGTATAATTTCTAATCTCACGGGTTTACGATCAGAAACAATTTTCTAAGTTCTGCACCCGCCAAACTCAACCCGTCCGAATTAATATTATATAACTTTTTTTATTTATTTTCCAGGTGTCATCCATTCGTCTTATCTCTTTATGACCTTGATAGATGTATCTCATTTTCTGACTCTTGACAGCCTATGTTTCCCACTATTCCATAGCCCACTTTCCCATAACCTCTCAACGTCTCTCTCTCTCTCTCTCTCTCACATGATCTTTAATATTTTTATTTCAAAAATTAAAAATCCGAATTAATATTATATAACTTTTTTTTTTTTAATTCTCAGGTGTCATCCATTAGTCTTATCTCTTTATGACCTTGATAGATGTATCTCATTTTCTGACTCTTGACAGCCTATGTTCCCACTTTTCCATAATCTTTGATATTCTTATTTCAAATCCTAAAATCAACAAAGATAAGTGACTATCCATTTCCCTTGCTTTGATGATGTTCAAAGACATGCTCCCTATTTCAATCTCTCTCATTTATTCGTCTTTTTCTTCTCTCATATTTTGTCTTCGTTCTTCCCTTTTTCGGTGGTAACAGACAAGCAACAATCGCAATGGCGAAAGCGGCAGCGATGAGCGGTGGCCGTGGCAGTTGCATGGTGAATCTTCCATGTTTCTCCATTTTTCACTATGTTCTTTCTTGCGCTTTCAGATCTGTAATATTTTTATTTACTTCTACATTCGATTTGTATGGTTCTAGTTTTTTCAATTTTTTTCTTTAACTTATCTAATAAATATTCGAAATCGACCGATTCAACCGAAAAACCGACTATTTTCATTCAATCGATCTTGAACAACAGAGTGATCGATAATGGTTGAGGAATTTGATAACCCCATAGTGTCGGTTCAGCTGCCGGATTAATGATAAACCTAGGCCGAACCAACTCGTGCACACCCCTAACTCAAAGAATCCTCATGGCACATCATTGAGGAGAAAGATAACAACCACTGTTTTTTGTGAAGTATAATTGGTTAAAATGAATCCATGAGCCATCAACCACCAAAAAGAAAGCAAATCTTCACTTGAAGTAGCACAAACGATTTCGATTTTTTTTTTTTTTAATCTTCTTTTGTAAAAGAAGAAAGAAGGCACTCTCAAATTGTCAATGATTTGGTCAAAGAATGATTTACATGTAAACTCCCCTAAAAAATGAATGGACCAAACTCGTTTATCACTCCTATTTGGAATTAGAAAAAGATGATCCACCCGAGATGACAAAGAAATCAACTCGCAAGTTTTCCGACCATTATGAGACCGAGCCACTCCATATAAATGTGGAAAAGCCACCTCGAAAGAGGAATTCCCCACCCAAACATTCTTCCAAACGTAACATTATCCCCATTCCCCACCCTCAAGAGCAAAACCCTAGACCAAAGTGGAAGTAACTGAGAAATAGATTTCCAAGGGGATCGACCATTGCCCCTAATAACCATTTGAGAATCTCTACCATTAATATGAACCCTGTATCTACTCTTCACAATAGAATGCCATACTGAATC